CCTCCTTAATTGCATTATATTGGCAGTATATCATTGTATTATGATTCTCTAAAGTGTACCTTGTGGCTTAGTGCCTCCAACTTCAGCTCTCTAGCTCCAACTCCTGGGACCTATACTTGGCACACAGGAGCTAAATTTATCTGACACTTCTTATCATGCAAATTTTAAATATTCGGTAATATGATTTTTAATGAACCAAATATCTTTGCGCAAGATATTTTAGTGTTCTACAACATGCCTCCCCCCCCCCAATAAAAAAACACTGTGAATGTCTTTGATTGTTTGTGTATTGAAGCTGTTTTGAAAATAGTGACAAAAATACAGTTCAGCATACACAGCAAAATCATTGCGATGCAGAAATCTTTGAACTATGTTCAAATTTCATTACGTATGTGTTTTAAATACAAAGAATATACATGAATAATTCTATTTTGGACATGAAAATCAGTTCTCTATTCCCATGTTCACTATGTGTGTACTAAACTGTATTTATCAAACAGATTTCATTTGGTTGCAGGCAATACTGCATCAGTATCCGCTGCACAGAATCTCTTACTGTGCAGATGACAAGTCGGACAAAAGAATGTTCACCTTTATCGCCAAAGCAGCAACCTCTAATGATCACTATTGCTATGTATTTGACAGCGAGAAATGTGTAAGTACTTTGCTCCCTGTATGTTTATAATGCTTTATGTTGAATGAAAGTGAACATCTGTACGTTTGGAAAAGCCATAAATTGATTTGGAAAAAAAAAAAAATATAATTTGGCACGGACGACCCAAATATGGAATACTTGAAGTCACGGATAGCTTGTACAATTTACCATTCCCTTACTGATCGTTCTTTAATTTTTCGTTATCGGTTAACCAGAACGATGGATGTGTCGAACACATTTGTCAGTCCCGGATGAGTTTGAGTAGTGTGACTTTTGAGATCCATGTAAGGTTAGTGTCATTCCATAAGTATATTTTGAAATTTGAGAAAATTTGAGAAAAAGAGAGGAAGCAAATCAGAACCATATCATTGCTACCCGTTGTTTTTCAGTGGAGGAAATAATGAAATAGAAAGCAAATTTACTGTAAGATGTCCCTTGATGTCTTTATCTGGATACCCCCAGAAACTGACTTGTCAATTGTGGATTATCGTTCATTATGTACCCTGTGTGTGCCAGATGAGCATCGAGATTTGTATTTAGATATATATATGTGTGTCGTTATCATTTTTAAAAACCCAACAAAACAAAAAAAACCTCTGAAACTATTCAGCAACTTCTATGATTTTTTCACAGGCTGAAGAAATCACATTGACCATTGGTCAAGCTTTTGATTTGGCCTACAAACAGTTTTTAGAGGCATCGACAACGGATTCCGACATCAGAAAACAGTGTTTATTGCTGCAGAAAAAGGTATGGGCATTTCTGCACATTATATTCAATAGCCTTTCTTTTTAAGGCTCAGCTTCTCTTTGATGTTGAGCAGACTAATGAGTTTTCTCTGATAAGTTCTTATGCAAGAAGAACATAATGCATGTTTATATGATGTGCGCATTAAACAAACCCCCAAAAACGTGGACCTTAGGTAGCTGTAAGTGGAAGCTGTCTTTGAGCTATTTCATGAAGAATGGTTGGCCAGTGTCTGGTGTGTATCGGTTAGGCACTTTGCCATCACATGTTGAAGATGTCAGTTTGATTCTTGTGTGGGGAAGCTTTGTTTTTTTTAAACTGAATGTCTCTGCTTGTCTGCTCGGATGTTGTGTCCTTCTGAACTCGGGTTGGCCCTGACAAGTGTAGTGTCGAAGCAGTCTGCCTCCTAAATGATCTGCAGGGATGGGCTGAAAAGGAATGTCTGTCATGCCACAACTTTTAAACTTATTCATGGTAGAGTAATAAAAAATTACTACTAGTACTTTCTCACCATTTGACTACCACCGTAGTAATTTTTTATTGCTTCATGAGGTCGTTCACACTGAAAATAGCACGTGTTACAATGCGTGGTGGGGTATCTCGGTCAGAGCTAAAATGACGACCTCCAAAGAGTGTGCATCATCAACGTGCAATGACAAAGTGTTTAACCGCTACACCGCAGACATGGGTTCATTACAACTTGAAGAATTGTTTACGTCTTTAACGAATGTGCAGTAATTGAATTTGTTTAAACATTTATGAAAGAATAAGATCTGTTTATGGTGAGTTTTGTGATGATGTTAGCACTATGAGGTGATTGGCAAGATCTTTGTACGGAGAATATCCGACAGAAACAAAATGAAAAGATCAGATGTGTTCTGGTAAGCCACATAGTGCTTTGAATTTAGTCTATTAAAATATGTGAGGCAGCGCGGTGGAATCAGGCTCTCGTCAATTTTTGGGCATATTGAGTTATTGGTATCATCTTAAAGCTTGTTCATTTGTCTTGCTTTCAATGAAAATATTACCCATCCATCTTCAATAGAAGTGGAGATATTTTTGATTGAAGGAGGTTTAAGAGGTAAAATTAGTGAGAGAATGGCCGCCAAAGCTTGGTAAATTCCAAAGCTGCAGAGTCCTTGGAAACTGTAAATTTATATTTTTGTGCGTTTAATCAACGTTTTCTGTGAAATCCTCAAAGGAATGTGTTTGTTAATGGACATAAAAAGTGTTGAGCCAAAAAACAAAAATTTGATGAAAATTGCTAAGCAGGGCGAAAACTGCCGTTTTCTTCGATTTCATTGTTTTGACGAGAGCTTGGTTCCACCATGCTGCCTCACATATGGTAGAGAGCACAATTAAAACCAGTTGATGAGTTAAGCAAAAAAGACATTGCAAACAATGTTGGAAATTCTGTGTGTATCTGGGTGGGTCTGGGTGTGCATGCATGCATGCCTGTGTGTATGTGTGTGTGTGTGTGTGTGTGTGTGTGCATGCATGCATGCCTGGATGCATGTGTGTGTGTGTATGTGTGTATGTGCATGCATGTGCGCGCGTGTGTGTGTGTGTATGTGGTGAAACTCCAAACCAATATGCCATCACCTGGACAATTAAGATGCATTATATCTTATCTAGCTCTCATCTTGTGTATCCGTAGGTTCAGACGCTGCAGTTTGAGAACGATGAACTGAAGAAAAGAGTTGTACAACTTGAGCAGATGAAGGACAGATCGGACGTGGAGAGCTACATGAAGAACAACCAGGTAACGCTACATATGCTTGAAGCAAAATAAGCTTGTTGCGATGAGAGCATTAAGTCAAAATATTTCAAATTCAGGCAGTGCTATCTGTCTATTCATCTCTCTATCTATCTATGCATTTAATATTATATACTACACTTTTCTCTGGCAACTGTATCACACTCAGGCTGCTATGCTTTTGCGAGTAACTCAACTTTGTTTGCAACAATTTTGCTTATGCTTTGTCTTGTTCTCAAGATTAACATGTTTAACAAAAAAAATATACTATACGATTTGTGTGATAAATGTTTATTATTAAATCGAACTTTTGAACTTCAAAAGGATTGAATTTTTAAAAATACGGTGCCTGGCAACTGGATCCAACACTATGCAATAGAAGGCTTTTAATTGAAAAAAAAAATGGTATCTCAGAATTACAATGTTAGATTTGTATTATTGGTTTATGAAATTACATAAATGATTTTAAAAAAAATGAATTATCATGCTGAACTTCAGGGCTGAGCTCTTCAGTTAATGAAGAAACTTCAAAAGGCGAAAAAAAAACAGAAAAAACTGAAGTATTGATATTCTCATGCGTATACAGTGGAGTCCGCTTAAATCTAAATCTGCAGGACTGCTGGATTTTCTTTGGTTTAGCCGCATTTTTGGTTTAGAGAGGTTGCTCGAATAAAAGATAAAACCTTTGTGAATATTTTTTTCTTTCGGTTTACTTCTGTTTTCAGATTAAAAGTGCTCTGTTTAAGCGGACTCCACTGCGTATAATTGTGTTTGCTATAAACTGCATTTGCTCGTATGCTTCCAAAATGACACAGCGCTTCCAACATAAAAGAGTAGTTAAACATATTTGAATTGGTTGCTGCAGTATCTTTGTTTCAGGAAATACTGAATTATGGAGGCCGTTCCTCTTATTTTGATCAATATGTATAGGTGTGGGTGTGTGTGTGTGTGTGTGTGTGTGTGTGTGT